GCACACGAAAACGGAGGCCATACAGCACCCATATGCAAAATGTTGGCCAGCATATTTCAACACTGTGGTTCAACTAGGCCGTTTGAGACGCGAGAAAACCCACGAAAACAAAGCGTGTGGTGACGCCACCTTAAGATTGCCACACCAAAAAACCGTGACTCGAGACATTTTGAAGGCGTGCACCAGGTCATACATAGCTTTACATCGACAAAAAAGAAGTACGTTGCCACCTGTGGGTGCCGTAGAGCTAGCATCCGAACTTTCGGAAAATTTCAAGAGCAAATGCCACGAGAATATTGAAAACATCTTTTAATTTCTTTGTTACGTCACGCGCGGAGACTGGCGGTATTCTGTACACAATGTACGAGCAGAGCCGGGATGACATTTTCGGGCAGTTCTGAAACAATTGAGTGTGTGACACTTGAGCAGCTTCCATATTCGAGTGCTTTGTTAAATGTAAGCAGAGTGCCCGACGTGAGCCAGCGTTGATACTTTCTCTAATCAAGCAGCCAAGCTTTCGCAACGAGAGGAACCAAAAGGGTTGGGCACTGCAACTTTTGCCTGTGGTGGGTACCAATTACGAGTTGCCAGGGGTTATTGATACGCACGCTAACTGTGCCGGTGCCTGAACATTTAACGCATCTCACACGATGCGACTTCATTATTGCTTGTACCAATTTTGGGCATGGTTTCTGGGGCACTAATGCTAATCTTATCAGATGGAAGGCGTAAACGTGGCTTAGGGCAATAAAAACATGGAGGCAACGCAAGGCCTTCAGAGGCCGCAGAGAATAAAGTGCTACGTGAAAAACTGAACCGAATAAATAAAAGCTTTCGTATATTGCCTCGACTTTCAAGTGTAGCTATAACCCTGAGCGTTGTCTGCGTTGTATGGCTACACTGATAGAGTGGCGCCACCACTTTTTCTAGCGTTACGAGATTCTCGCCACGCTGGCTCGCTTCGCGTCGAAGTACACATGCGAAGAATCTCGCCACTTAGCTTTCCCTTCATTGCTGAAAAAAGTGGTCTGCCAGTATGTCTTGGGTGGGTTTATTTCGATGCTCTGCACAAGGTGCAAAGGTATCTCGGCATATGGCACTAGCTTTTTACGTACATTGTGTTTCATTTGTGTGTGGAATGAACAAACTGGACAGCTGGGTTGTCGAGAAACAAGTGAACCCCATCGTTTATTCTGCGTTGGTAGTTATAGTCGAAGGTGGAAAGGGTTAGAAAAGGTGAGGGCCAGGAGTACGCACAAGGCAATCAAGCATGTAGATAGCACATGTGCTTTAATCAGATCTGATGCATCCTCCTTCCAAACAGTGGACGAAATTAATGCCGCTGGCTTGTCTGCTAGAACTGCCGGTCATAACCCAGATGCTCTGGCGGCCGCGTCTGTCGTCGACTGCGTCTCAGTGGTTGAGGCGACGGCTGCTGAGCTTCCGCGGGCGAGGCTGCGGTGGTCGATGACGCCTCACCTTGAAATGGGATGTGGTTGTTGGTTCATCAGACGACGAAGATTGTGCCAACACTATATGATTCCTTCGTCGCCAGAAGGTGCCGACGGTTGCGCCTCAGCACGGTGTTGCTCTCTGTGCGTACGTAGAAGGACCGTGGGCCGGCTGATCCGATCACTTTGGCTTTCGTTGCCCATGGTGTCCCATTCATGCGAACCACGTCATTGTCGCAGAGGCCAGGTAGGGTGCGCCTGTGATGACTTCTCTGCCGGTGTTTCTTGACGAGCGTTGCTGACCCTGGATTGAAGACCGGCAAGGGTGTGCGCAGCCGCCTTCCTTGCAAGAGTTCGCCCGGAAACCGGCCATCTTCAACAGGACTCGCCCTGTAATTCAACAAGCCCAGCCAGAAACACTCTCCTGCCGCTTTTGTTTTCTTTAGGATGCGTTTTACAACTTGCACGCCCTTTTCTGCGAGCCCGTTCGATTGCGGATACTGCGGGCTTGATTTCACACGCTCTGAGTCGTAACGCTTTGTGAAAATAATGAACTCTTGGCAGCTAAACTGTGGGCCGTTATCAGTACAAACCTCGGCTGGTATGCCATACCTTGAAAATATTCCACTCAGTCTATCGATGACAGTACTGGCTGTTGTATCGGTCAGTAGCTCCACCTCAAGGAGATTGGACATCAAGTCATAGGCGCACTAATAATGTCTTCCCGAATACTGAAAGGTATTTGTATCTACCACTGACCACTGCCGTGTTTTCGGCATTACCAGAAAGATGACGCAATGAGCACACGTCACCACATTGCACAGTGACGCCCGCTCTAATCTCCTACATGCATTTTGCCCGACTTAGAGAAGAGGAGCGACGCTCACTCGCGCACCCTTATCTCGCGGTGGCGAGGAGGGGAGGATCGTACGCCTTGGCCGGCCTCGGGCTTTACGTGGAACGATTCTGCTGTAGTGACCGGGCGTACAAAGGTCACTGCAGTCTCCGATCGCGAAAAGCTCGCGCTTTTCACTCGGCGAAGTAACAAATGAGATGCTTATTCGCGTGCATCCGCACCTTTGAGCACGTTTCGTGCGTAATTTGTGCGCGAGAAACGCGGGGCACGTTTCGATGTGCATTCATTCTGCACGTTACCTGTCAAATTGTTGCTATCGTGTTCATTGCTTCGCCTTTGCGGCAAAGCTGCGACTTTCTCAAATGCTTGTGTACTGTATATTGAAAGAACAACAGATTAAATAATAATGAGACTGGCTCCCCCTGATTATTATTTAAACTGAAAAATAACCCATATATTTTAATGATGTTTTTCTTTAAACTGTAAGAAAAGACATCACACCAGGTTCTTATGATTACAGCACACGTTTTTTCGCTTATTTCCTCCATTTGAGCTGCGTATTGTGATTACTTTCTCTATAAAAGTGACCTCTCACGTAACAGAGATCTCGTAACAGATCTCACGTAACAGAGATCTCGTAACGGACCACTCTCTCTCTGTCACTTTATGTATTTTATGAAGGTGTTTTTATGATGGTCTACATGCATATTTTACAAGCATGCGCAGGATACCCCTTTTGGGGGGGGGGGGGGGGAGCCTGCCTCCCCTCATGAAGTTTATGCACAAGGCAGACCTCCCTGTCGCCCTTCATGCTCACGTCCGAGATAGCTTTGTGGAGGAAACTGCGTGGCGCCACCTTCGCTCCGGCACACCACGTCGACACTTGTAAGAATAAACATGAGCGTGGATTCTGAGAAACATTAGCAGGATTAGAACTCTCTCGCCATAACATAATTGAAAAATTGTTTTTGTACCCGAAATCGTAACAGTTATCTGAAAAAAAGCTATCAAAAAAGCCTGCCTTGGTTTTCATGTTTAGAACCATTCATAGATTTCAATTGCTGTGTTCTTGAAATAAGGAGTATTGAACAATGCCAGCATTCCGGCTAGTGTTACACATAGGTGGGGTCGGGCTGCCCGCACCACGATGTGACAGAAAAAAACACTTTTGTATAGTTCAGCTTCTTCCTCCGAAAAAACAGGGGTAGTAAGCCCTTGAGTAGCTAAAGGAAAAGGGGACTTCAGTGTCGAGTCCGCAGGAACACATATCTGACTTGCATTTATTCCAACGTCAGGCAGCCACTGGCAAAGCGCCATATAAGCTATAAGGTTTGTTTTTCACGTTCAGGTAAAAGAAAGGTGCTCAAAATTGAAAAATAATGTATAACATTGTGTGTAGCTTGCCATAAAACTTATTTAAAAAGTATTTGGCCAATCAGTGTTAAAAAAGAGCGGGCTACTCACTAAGGCCTTTCTTGCATAGCTGCATAGCTGCAAGGCGGGGCCGGCATGTGAAACCGGAAGTCACCAAGGACCTGCGTTTATGAAGGGTTCAATGGTCTGTATACCCCCTAAAAATTGCAACTTGCTTGAGCCGACACTAAAATACTGTCACGTCATAAACAGCAGGGGATATCATCGAAGCGTTCCACATTCAAAGGAAAACGGATAATTGTATCAGTGTACCTTCCATCGCGCTAAGTGATGCGGAATTTCAATACATAAGTGTCACCTACACATGTTGATATCAATGACTGTTTTCTGTACATTTTTCAACTTCATATTGCACATTCTTGCTTAATAGAAATCAGTTGCAAGTCGGTGCCCGTGTTGTGCTTTCACTTTTCTTCTAGTCTTCGTTCCCCCAGTGCGCTGTTAAAATCAAGGGTCTACCATTAGATCTTGTAAACTGCATTGCCGAATGCCTATAGGTGGTCAGGAAGAAACAAGAGGTGGACACAGTGGAAATATCTACGGTTACTTATGGCGCGCCTGTATACAAGTACACGACCATCTTGAATCTTGAGAGACGCCGTAGTGGAGGGCTCCGGAAATTTCGACCACCTGAGGTGCTTAACGCGCACTCAATTCTGAGCACACGGGCCCACAACATTTCCGCCTCTATCGGAAATGCAGCTGCCACAGTCAGGATTCAATTATTTCTTCAAATACTTCTTTAACATCGCTGATGTTTCCTAGAATGATGCTTCAGTTTCGTTTGGGTTTTCCAGAATACTATGCATAACAAGGCTGCATCTCTTGCTTCGCTTCTCAATGTGCAACGATTCTCTGGACTGCATGCTTGAATCTTATCGAACGGAGCGAGGAATGTACTTGGCCTGCATGATCAGGCAACGGTGAGGTTTCGCAGAGCTTTCTTTAAACAGAGAAAATAATGTAATTCGTTTACGACAATCCGCTCAACGTCACCACACAGACGTTCAAACAATTATATGCGATTAGGGCCGCTAAAAAAACTATTAGTATAACCGACCCACACAAGGAATAATCGCTTCCTTAGCGCCACTGCAGCGCTGCGTCCTTCAGGATGATATTGAGGTTCTTAAATAACAAGTTACGGATTGCATACTAATCGCACAATGAATTGTGGCTTAATTCAAGCTACATTATAAAGAACCCTATTACACGGCTCATTTTATGTGGACAGACTTACCTTTGAAGTACAAGGCATTGGCTAACTGAACGTCACTGGGCAGCCTCGTGCAAAGACATCGAGTCAGAGGTTCAAGCTGCACATGATAAGTAGCGTTAGAAAATAACTGTCAACCACCACAGGATATTTATAAATGTAAGTTAGCACTCATCACTGAAATAATCGATCCTCTATCTGTTGGATGCAACATGTTCGAATTTGTTAACAGGAGGTGCCGCCAGCAGTTCTACACTGTGATGGGAAACGCACTTTGGTTTGGGTGTATAATTCGTTCTTAAAAATACAACCATAGGGTCCTCCAACACGCGACACAGACAACTCACTTCATCTGGATCACCCCCTAAACAGCAATATTTTCAGAGTGTGAATAGTGTAAGGCAACCATCGTTCATTTGGCGATATGCCTGACTCTCATGCCATCACCTCCTCAATGGAGGCTGTTATAGTTCCCGCGATAGTCATCGTGGTGGCGGCGTCAATGCGTTCGCCTACGGTTGTTGCTGGGCCTGGCTAGTCGCCAGCGAGCCACTTCGTGCCGAGGCGTCTCCCTGAACGTCAGTCCCAGTGCATCGGGTAAACTCACTCCTGGGCCACTTGGGCGGCAGACCGATGGCGCTCCAAGGAAACACGAACGCTATCTTGGTCTGGTTTGCCCTACAGCTTAACAAGGACGCCGGCACTTGAGTACTCAAACTTCATGAACCAGTGGTGCAGACGTCCACCCGCTCTCGTTGCTTGCTTGATTGTGTCTTATGTTTTGGCTCGTACACACTACACACATTGTCCCTTTCACTCGAGCCTTTGTTGTGGAAGTCCACGCTCTGCTCCCGCAATATCATTATCAGGATCTTTACGTTGACACAGCATTCATTACCAACAACTGCCCCCTCGTGGTATCGCAGCCACGCCGCACAATCCACATCAGTGTAAATGTAAGACCACTTCCTGCATGGTGCTTGTTATAATGAATTCATACATTGAATGTTTTAACAATGCATTCAATCACTGCGTGAAACAATCTACTATTGAATATATCTTTCTTAGCTCAATTCAAAACGAGGGTTCAAGGTTTCAAACGAAGTTAAACAAGAATTTAATCGAATTAATTTGATTGATGTGATGAATTAGCTGTTTTCCTTTTTTTCCTTATGTGTTCACAATTACACAGGTTACAAAAAATATACGTTCACAAATATAGCTACAACAAAGGTTTGGTTTAATGCAACATCGACACTGGAATGCTTCACATATGACCCACGCACATGGGCTGTCATTTCAACGCAGATGCACACTTTTTCGAGGTAGTCGTGTGAGGGGCGGGTGTCTGGCCTCGCATGGCTCCGCCAACTTAACGAGAAATTGGGGAGAAATAACTACATATGCAAAAAATAGAACCAGGAATTTGCATTTCAGTGCCACTGAAATTCGGAGCAATAGAACTCGCACCCTCATCGAAAGAAACTGTCTAATGCATAAATTAGATAAAACATGGATATTTGCCACATCACCAAATTGTGACATTGTTGGGCAGCTTTAGTTGCTCTCAGTCTTTTGTGTACAGCTTGTTGATGTGAGGCGCTTTATGGTGCAAGGGCCAATTGATGGCCAAAGAGCGCCATTTCAATGAGTAGAGATGTGGACAATGAAATGTTGCATGGCCGTATATGGGCCTTAAAAATCGTCGCAATAATGCGGGTAAAAACATAAGTATTAAAATCATGACAGTGGCGTCATATGCATAGTAAAAAGGGTGACAAAGGTTTTGATTATAAAAGCATGTAAAAATATTTGGCGCTAGCACAAGTGCCTCATCAGCGCCCTTGTGTCCAAGGGCTGCGAGGCAAGTGCTTTTAAATATAGTCACTGCAGCAGCAACCTCTCTTGAAGGGTCACGCTACACAATGCCTGGGTATATGACATGATAAAAGCGAACATCTCTTGAAAAAGCTAGCACCGATTTATGAGTGAACAGTGGTTCCCTACCGACGAACATTGCAGGGTGTAAAGGTATATGTTGTCGGTAGGGTAATGGAAAGTGTTGTTTTCTTAGAGAGTCTAGTTGTTTGCACTGTATTAAAATGTGAATAACTGCTAGTACTTCACCACATCTGTCACACAATGGTGGATCACCACCGGACAAAAGATGTGAGTGTGTCGTGTATGTGCGTCCTATCCTGAGCCTCGTTAGTGTTACCTCTGTATGACGTGATTTTGGTACTGGTGGCCAATGGCGAAGGTGTGGTTTGATAATGTGTAGTTTGTTTTGTGTGTGTCTATCCCACTTGCTCTGCCAGTAGTCCCCGAGCTTTCGTTTGAGAAACGGCTTAAGATCAAGGGCCGGGATTGATATGGGTGTAGTGGCAGTGCTTTCGTGGACGGATGCTTATTAGACGCAATGTCTGTACACATTTTTAAAAACAAGTGGTGCAGGGGCACAGTGACAAAATGGCTGTAGATGACGTCATATGAAGTGGAAGTCGAAGAAAATCAGCTAAGACTCCAGGCCCGATCTCTGATCCACTAATGGGCCGTGGGTTTGAATCCGAATTCTGACGCCATGTTTAATTAGTGTTTATATAGAGTCCCATCTACTGTATCCCAGTATGTTCAAATTTCTTTCAAGCTGCAGACAAGCTGCAGTATACAAGGTCTTCCAGAGTCAATTCGATAACTTTCTTTGTTTCATCGATAGGTTTATCGATAAGTTTATTTTTTCTTAATCTGATTTTTTTAAGCGAGGCACTCTGGAAACACTGTGTGATGGGCAAGTCACAATTTTGCTTACCTATGCCTACTTTAGTTAACTTTGGTTTAGCATACTTTTGTGCGAGCAAAGTGAATTGCAACGACCAACATTATTGGGATATTAGCAGCAGTAGGTCAATATACGTACGCTTGTCTGTGACGCCACTTCGTTCCTCGAACTGACTGCAACGTCACTACGCAGACTGGTGCCTCCATTTTTGCCTGGACGCCGTCAATCTCGACCGCAAAACGTCATTGGACAGCCTCGGGAGATGGTTGGTTGGAGGGAAGACTCCACAACGTCAACGGGCAGGATAGGACGAGAATGGGTTTGAGGGTAACCCTGCAATAACAGCTGCGTCCCCTGCAAGAATATGAAAAATAAAGTTCTAGTTTGGCGACAAGACTGTCCTACCCTTACGGTTTTAGTGCAAGCTTAGTAATCGGACAAGTACAAGTTCTCACGGGTGATTTTGGGCAACACATCTGTGTCCATTGCTGAGCTACTTTGCTTAAGGTCTATTTGATTTTTCTTTGCTCAGAGTCGATTTAGTTTTTTTTTCCGTGGCTGCAGAGTACCAAGGTTGATTTATTTTTTCAAGCTACATCATTAAGCTCCTGTAGCTTACCATTAGTACTACCTTGAAACTTTGCTACTAGTTCTCTTATGCAACAGTTAGTAAACGCTTGTGCCCATGTACTTTTAAAGGAAACACGTTCACTAACATTTTGACTACTCCATCGCCGAAGCCAAGTTTAACTTCGTCAAGATTTCAGAACCTTTACCATGCAGTAGATAATATAAAGACGCAATCCACATAGAAAAAAAATTAAGGGGATAGGATAAGGCGTCAACTGGCAACTAACTTTATTAAAAAAAATCTAGGCATGCAGACATGTGCCCAGTTACAGTCGCGCACGATATAGGTTGACATTTCAACCTTTCACACATCATGAAAGCTAACATTAATTAAGTATGTGTGAAAGGGCGAACCGTTCAAGTCTCAATACATCCTGAAAGCACACAACGATAAAATATGTCTGCCTTCATATTAAAAGGAGCTTTTTTTTGTATGCATGCTGGGATGTGTACAGTTACAGTTGCACACGACACGGGGGAACATTTCAAGGCTCAAAACATCATGAAAGCACACAATAAAAAATAATGTCTGCATTCATATAAAAAGATGCGTGCTGATATGTGCAGTTACAGTTGCACACAACATGGGAAAGTTTTCAAGGCTCCATACATTATGAAGGCACACAATAATAAAATATGTCTGCAGTCATAAAAAATGAGCTTTTCTGATTTTTATATGCATGTAGAAAAGTGCCAAGTTACGATTGCTGACATGGGCGAACATTCAACATTTAACACATTATGAAAGCCAACAATGATAAAGTATGTCTGCATTCATATAAAAAGGAGCTTTTTTCTCTTTTTTATATGCATGCTAACATGTCCTCAGTTACATTTGCTCAGAACATAGGCAAACATAACGGTTAACAGTCCATGAAAGCATAGAATGATAAAATATGTCTGCATTCATGTAAAACGTAGCTTTTCTCATTTTTATATGCGTGCAGAGAAGTGCCAAGTTACGATTGCGCACATGGGCGAATATTAGACATTTAACACATCATGAAAGCCAACAATGATAAAACATGTCTGCGTTCATATTCTCCTTTTTATATGCATGCTCCTCAGTTACATTTGCTCTGAACATGGGCAAATATAACGGTTAACACTTCATGAAAGCACACAATGACAAAATACTTCTGCATTCATGTAAACAGGAGCTTTTTCTCATTTTTATATGCGTGCAGAGAAGTGCCAAGTTACGATTTCGCGCATGGGCGAACATTCAACATTTAGCACATCGTGAACGCCAACAAGGATAAAATATGTCTGCATTCATATAAAAAGGAGCTTTTTCTCCCTCCTTTTTGTCTGCACGTTGGGGTGTGCACAGTTACCGTTGCGCACAACAAGGGCGAACATTTCAATAGTTAACACATCATGAAAGCTAACAATGATAAAATATGTCTATATTTATATGCGACCGTCGTGATCTGGCGACGTGCGCTCATTGGCCCATTTCGCTGGTAATCCTGAAAACACAATAGTTCCACCCCCACCCACCCCCAAATAAATCGCCATCGCCAGCGGTAAGCGGTAGATATAAATCTCTTGGCTTGCCAATGCAACGTTGAAGGAGGTCCTCCTTCAACATTGATAGGCTCAGTGGCTAACGCCGCGCACTCACAAGCAAGAAGTCGGACGTTTGATTCTGCGTGACAGAGCGTTTGATTATTTTTTTCTGGCGTTTC